CCCCAAAGGAGACAAGGTCTCATTATGTAGCCTTCGCTGATCATGTACTTGTAGCCATCCTTTTGTCTCTGCCTCCCAAGTGCTACACCTGGCTCAAGCCAACCACTTAACATTACTACAGAGGACCAACTTTCCAATACATGTTTGGGGGTGACACAATCAAACCACATTCAAATCATAGCAATACCTATGAGTGCAGGAAAGTTATAAGTCGATGATGTGTTACACTGCAAAAATTTAACACACTAATGAGTTGATCTTCTTATCTATATTGCAGTGTTCCTAACATTATACTCTGATTTCATTTTGACTACACGATTAATAAATTTAAAAAATTATCATATGGCTCAGCAATTAAGAACACTGGTTGTTCTTGCAGAAGACCCAGGTTTGAATCCCAGCACCCACATAGTGCAACCCTCCATGATTCCAGTTCTGGGAGATCATTGCTGTCATCTGACTACAGACATTGCATGACACTGGTACACTTACACACACGTGGGCCAGGCAATACACGCATACACATAAAAATAATAAATAAAAATTTTAAAAAAGTTAAAAAATTTATTCCATGAAAGCAGTTTATAGAAAATGTTCAAATAGTGGTAACATTACTGGGAAACATCTCATAGCAAACTCTTAACTGCTTTACATAAAATCATTTGTTCAAATTGTCAATTTAATATTCTTGCTTCCCAAATTCATTTCCTGAAACACTCTTTACAGAATTTGCACAATATATTCTACTAGCATGAATTTACTGATGTTTAATTTGTTAGGACTCATCTTTAGCAGTAGACAGGGTCATAGAACAATAGTAAAGTCATAATATGAAAGACTAACAGGACTGTAGCCACTTGTTCTATTAAGTGTCCTGATTCCCACAAATGTCAACTGCTATCCATGTGTCATTGTTAATTTCTGATTTGACATTATTGGATTCCTTCATGTCATTAGCATCTTTATGTTAATCACAGAATGGGCCATTAAATAAAATTGGATTGGTACCATTAAAATCAGGAACAACCTCAAAAGGGAGGCAGTAGCTGCCAGGCAACTACTGTCTTTCTTTGGGAAGTTAACCTGGATTTCCCACTTCTGAGCCCACTTTTCAAAACTTCTGTTTCTTTTCTCCTCCTCCCTCCTTTCCTTTTGTTTTACTTTTTCCCTTATTTTATTTTTTTAGACAGGGTCTCTTGTAGCCCAGGCTGACCTCAAACTGCCTATAGAAGCTGAAGCTGGCCTTGAACTCCTGATCCTCCTGTTTCCATCTCCCAAGTGCTGAGATTACAGGCATGCACCACTATGCCTGGCTTAACCTCCTCATTTTCAAAAGACTTTGTCACAAATTTTGAAAAGCTACTAATAAGAGAGAACAGCAGTTAAGAGGCAGGAACTCTACAATCTCACCACCAAGTATATACACAAACCTACGTTCCTTTTCACCCATTTTTCTTCTTTTTTGGTACCACAGAGGAAATAAATCCCATTATCTCCAAGTGCTCTGGGTCCCACCTCACCCACTCTATCCCTGAAGTCTTATCGCCATCTTCCTAAAGTTATTATTTCCCAGTACTGAGGACTGAACTCACAACTTTGTGTTTCCAGGCAACTAAGCTACCCTGTCATCCCTCACATAATTTTGACTATTCCAATAAACTCATTCCCATCAGCATTCAAATATACTACACTCCCAGTGCAGCATCTTTAAACCAAAATGCCATGTTTTGAGTTTGGTTTTCCACATGGCAAGTTATTTAGAGTTGCTAGGCCTCAGTTGAGGTGATGATACGTAAGTTAGTTATGTGTATAGTACTTATAAGTACTTGGAACATAGTAAGTACTCACTATCTATGACTTCCTGGTAGTTTAAAGCTTAGTACTTTTACCCTTGAACCTCCATTTTCTTGGTCTCATGTCTGCTGGCCTAATTTGACTAAAGGTACATAGTACAGTCTAGTACTTCTAAAACAAGAACACTTGGTAATAGAATGCACAATTTCCTGTCCTCTAAACTCTTTGGTATGCACATTTACATGCTAGTTACGGTATTTTCTTCTTCTGACCAAGGAAGATGAAGACTGTTCCTTCACAAGCTACTATTCATTCCTCTCCCATCTATGCTCGCCTCTCACCCCCATATTTTCTGACCATACTGACATACACATACACTTAGTGTTTCCTATTATGATTATGTACACGCTGACAATTGTTACTGGATCAATGGTTATTTTTCATTTTCTGTGTATCTCTGCACATTCACCCCAATCTATTATGTATTTCTCTTCTCGGTACACTTACATATATATTAGGTATTTTACTGATTTCATCCTGAAGAAAATTTTCTTGGAGACATCTGACCTGCTTCCACTGGGGTAGTTCTCAAAGCTGTCTGACAGTTCTCATTTTGATGTCTTCATTATTCTACTGGGAAAATTCTTTTACCACTTTTTTTGGGTCGTGCTATCTGGAGTTCAGACTGTCTTTCTTGTATTAGCCCTCCTCTTTTGGTAGAAGTCTCTAGTAATTTCCTAAGGAAGAATGCTCAAAATTTCGCATGTCTAAAACTATACTGTATCCATGTATCTGAGAGCGGCTGTACAGTTTGAAGCCACTTTGCTCCAGTACTGCTGCTGGAATGCCTCCAAAGGATTTCTAAATTTTAGGCCCTTCTCCGTTCCTAGTATTTGGAAATTCCCACAATGATGTTTTTAAGAGTTAAGACTTTATTTGAACCTCTGATTCTGATGAGATAAAAAAAAACTCTTGAATCTCCAAGTTAAAGGCTAATAAAATCCCTTTGAGAGAAAAAAAAAATTCTGATTCTTTGAAATGTCTGTCCTTACCGTGATTTTTATAATAAATAACAAGGTCAATGTTTATTTTGTTATAGATTGATTCATTTATTCATGTTCATTCAAATATATATAATGTCTATTACATGTCCAGTATTTTATTGGGGGAATACAATAGTAAAGAACTGTTTTCTGCCCACATGCACTAAACTGAAGACAGACAGACACACATACACAGAAAACAAGTGGAGCAAGGACTTAACACAGCCAAATGTGGGGTCCTGCTTACTTCTAAAACTATCTATGTCCTTTATTTGTACTAAGACCAGAATGATTGGGACATTTTTCCTTTCCTCCCACGGTTCTGAGTTTATAAATGCTATACCCTCTCCTTGGAATGCTCTTATACTTTGGGTTTCTCTTAAATTTTGTAAAAAGAATATACTGCTTATTAGTGCTTACACGAAACTACAGGGTACAGAAATATTCCAACAATGAAAAATATAAGTTAAAATTCAGATTTTCCAGTAAAGTAACAGGCCCTTGTGGAAGCACATGTAGACGCGGCTCATCTAAGGACTTATTTTGGTGAAAAATGTGTTCTAATTTGTGAGAAGATTCAAAGGACTTTATATGTGTGTGTGTTTGTGTGCATACATTAGTATGCCTTTTTAAAAATTGTTTTTTGTTCTCCTTTCCAAATGTTATAGTTCCTAAATATCAAAGCCTCCATTTCTTTCTATTAGTTTCTTGGGTGTGTGATTGTGGACTTAGATCAAGTTAATTTTTTAAAAAGCCTAAGCTCTGGCCAATCCAAATAACCTTCATATTGTTTCAAATAAGAGTTCTGTTGACACTGAAAAAAAATTAAAAAGTGATGGGGAGATATGGAAGGAGTTGGAGGGGAGGGAGTGGGCATGGATTTGATCAAAACACCTTACATACATGTATGAGATTCTCAATTAATTTTTTAAAAGTTAAAAAAAAATTATCCTACAGAGAAGCTGCCATTTTGGAAAAGATCTATGTCCATACAGATTCCAGTCTACTAAAAACAGAAAGTTGACCTTTCCATTTGAACAATTTTTCAACAAAGGGCATTGAAATAAACCTTCAGAGTTAAAAAGAAATTTAGTCAGAAAAGGGAAATTTTAAACACCCCCTGGTATTAAAAAGTAGAAACCCTTTCTCCTGTTTAATTCCTTAAAAGTCCAAAGGCTCGGATTTGGAAGACTTAGGTATATCAATAGATACAAAGTTATGGTCTGAGTTGATAATTATGTAACTTGAATACAGTAGCTGCTCACTGGCCCTTTGTCCTGGTCCCCAAACATGCTCAGACAGCAATGTTTTCACTTCATTTATTCCTTTAAGTCACTTCATACAACATTTAGATATTGTAAATCACATACTTCATAAATAAAATGCATCTTAATAACAATAGCAAAAATCCATGAGTTCTACAAAATGAAATTAGACATCTTCCAGGTAGCAACAGTGCATTGACTTTGAAAACTTGCTGGCAAATAAGACAAAAGAACATTCTGAAACCAACACTGTCCATCTTCACTTTGAAAATTTCATATGCCAAGAAACAGCATTGTTCCTATTTGGCCCTTCTCTGCTACCTTTTCAAACCATGCTCCAATCCCTCTGCACCTCAGTCCTCACTGGTGGTTTTCTTCTTGCCGAGGTGGCACCTATCTAGATGGTTGCTATTCTTATCTTTTTTGACAAGCTACACATACTGAGCCTACATTCTTAAAAGGACAATTATTTTGCTCTGAATATATTTCCTGTAACAGCTTGAGTTCTGAATGGCACAAATGTGAAGTGGAATCTGGACAGGAATTAAGTCCTCATGTCCTTTAAGTAACTTAGGAGTTACAATCAACTAAATCTTCTATACCATTTATAAAGTCTGATCATGTAATCTCGGTAGAAATTCTAAATCTCTTTAGCTGTAACTTAACCAAATCATATCTTCACTATACTTTAATGCCTACAAATAAGCTAATATCTTAAAAAACAAAACCTAAAAAGGGCACCATGGCAAAACACTTCTATTCTTGGCCTTATACTTTTACCTCTTCCTTTCCAGTGATTCTTTATTTTACTACCCCTTCTCTTCACTCTAAATACCCTGGAAAGGCCATTAACCTTCCTTAAATGTGAGTGAATTAAGACTCTGGCCACCACCCACAATTCAGTAACATAATACTTTATTTTCCAAATCAAATATTCAAAGCACTATAAACAAAATGCTAATTTGGGGGGAGGAAATGAAACACTCCTACAGTCAAGTCAGTCAACTTATATTCATTAAGTTGGATGTGCAGAAATAATGTTTATTAAGAAAACTCAGAGCTGAGGATGCAGCTCTGTGAAAGCACCCTTGCAAGGACAAAGCCCTGGGTATAAGACACAAACTAGTTTATTCAAATGAAGTGTTCCACTTTAGGCCGACAAATATCAAAAATCAACTTCTCTAAAATAAGTCTGCTTAGAAATGAATGAAGGGCTTTAAGAATCTACTCTTAAAAACCATCAGTCATCTTTATACTATAAAAAACAAATTTGAATACTGTGAAACAGCTGATAAGACCATCACAACACAGAAGTATTTATGTTTGGGCAGAGATCATGCCTCTAATAGTTACTGACAGTTACTACTGTTACCAATACACCAGACTATTATCAGATGCACCAAACACTTATGGCAATAGTTGATTAAGAACTAATGGCTAGCAGCTCAAGAGTTGTCTTTTTATTGTTCTAATAAGATTCCTAGAGGGCTATGTAAACTTTTATTCTGCTTTTTAAAGTGCTGCAAATAATGTCTTAACACATGAAAAAAAATGTAATTCTTAATATATGTAAATTTAAGGCCACCTGATATATATGGATCACTCTGTTGTTTAATTTTACATACTCTCCACTTAACTGTTTTGAAAAGACAGAAAATTAAACTAGGGCAACTTGAAACACCCAAGTTCTAATCCCTATACAGGACAAAAGGAAACTAGATAAGCAATTTAGGCATGAACAGGGGAATATATAGATAGGTAATGTAAATTTCTGATTCTGACTTTACTTGGATTTTAACTTTAAGAAATATTCAAATGGCATAATGGTATTAGTTCTTAATAACGGGGTCAAGTTGACCAGTAGCCCCTTAACTATGCCCACTTCTCATTCTTGGAGAACAATTAAGAAATCAATCATGAACCTCAATGTCTTCCTCATATGGCTAACACATCACAAAATACTCAAGAATATTGATTTTGACTAATGAAGTGACTGGGAGAGTATCATCCTAACACTACACCTCAAAGGGACGAACAAGAGGGAGTAGATGCAGAAGTGTAACTTTTATTTTGACACTAATGTAAACTGTCCCCATTTTAGTTAAAAAAAGAAATTCTTATATAATAGGCAAAACTGAACAAGCAGAAAGAACTTCATTCTGCTCTAGTGCAAACTTAGGACAACCTTTCTTTTGAGCTCTGCTGAAAAAGTAATCTATAATTTTTAAAATGAGTTTACTCATATTAATAACTAGTTTCAAGAGCTTAATAATGAGCACAGAAAAGCAAAACAAAAACCTTTGAATTCTGAGGTTTACCTGCTTATGCTTATGCTGAACAGAAATTTAGGTTTTCAACCCTATATATAGTTAAATGATTGGCAAATAATGCTTCATCTTGAATTTTCATCATGATCAGGACACTATTCTAAAACCTGTTCTGAATGTCAGCAATGACTAAAAAGCTTTTTTGAAAGCCATGTGACCACCAGTGATTACCTGGTGAATGGACAACCCAGGTGCAAGACAGCAGAGAGTAAGATACAATTCCCTAAATAAATACATAATAATACACACAAAAACCACTTAGCATGAAGTGATTTTGTAAAATACCAGTGTTCCACTTCTTTGTATTTACTAAATTAATACTCTGTAGGTAATACATACTCACTTTTAAAGTGATGAAAATTTATATTAAAAAAATATAACATGCCTGACACATTGTACATTACTCAATAAATATTTGTTGCATGAACACACTTCTGGACCCAAAATTTCAGAAAGGAAATGTTGAATCTGGATGCTTAAAGGAAAGAAGGCAAGCTTTATGAACATGATACATAAAGTTCAATTTGATGGATGTTACCCAGGATTACAATGTTAGTATAGAAGAAATAAAAGAGACACAAAACCTATCTGGAACAGATGACAGGTACAAACAAAAACTTTTGAGATACTCATTCACACATTGTGAGTGCCAGATGTTAAGTGTCAAGCTCACCAGTGTTATCTTTAAGGCTCAGCAAAAAAAGAAAAATCAATGCTTTCAATTCATATTGACCATAGTAACTGTCATTGTTTGTCTAACTGGTGGTAGTGTCAAGCTCACCAGTGTTATCTTTAAGGCTCAGCAAAAAAAGAAAAATCAATGCTTTCAATTCATATTGACCATAGTAACTGTCATTGTTTGTCTAACTGGTGGTAGTCCCCACTTGTAATTTCAACACTCAGGAGGCAGAGGCAGGAGGATCACTTCAAGTTTGAAGCCAGCCTGGTCTACCTAGAAAATTCCAGGCCAGCCAGGGATACATAAGACCATGTTTCAAAACAAGAAAGAATGTTATCTAATGATTTAAAGCATATTTTTTGAATTGTTCAATTGTTCTTTAAAGAACTCTAAACTTTAGTTTACCTTAGTGTTGCTTAATTTGATATGGCCACCTTTGCCAAGTGAAAGGCTTTAAAACATTTTGCTAAGAAGCTACATGGAATGAGATAAGTGCTTCAAGGTAGACACCATATACCATTGATGGTTTGAGATATTTAATAAAACATGAGACTGAGAAAATAAAATTTCACAACAGTATGCCTCTTCACATTGTAGAACACAATACATATTAGAATTTAACATCCCTGATCTTCAGAATTACGAAAAGAGGTAGAAAATTTTATCTGGAAGATTCTATAGTGAAGCTAAGTTTTTAGAGGGTGTGTGTGCCATGAGGATCAGTCCATCAAGCAAATGGCTACACATCTGACACTAGGTGACAGAACTCTGAGAAAGCTAAATAAGGCAAGGATTTAAAAACCTTTATGTTTTGGAAGTGAGACAGATGTAACCAATGGTATTACACTAACTACTCAAAAATGAAAGTCAAAAGAAAAGATCACAGATAACCAAAGTTCTAACTTACAGAAATGTAGAATCTTCAAAAGATCATTAGTGGAGGGATACAGCTAGCATAAACATTGTTTATGTATGTAAAGATTTTTGCAAAAAACCAATGGAAGTATATCACTGTCACTTTAGAGGAAGACTCTTTGGAGGAACTTCTCTTAGAATAAAGGGTGAGGAAAAGAAATCCCTCCAGACAAATCTATATGTAAAAACAAAAGAATCAAGCACTCAAATTTCAAGAAGCTTCAATTTAAAAGGCATGCCCCGCTTAATTAAAAAAAAATCTAATGTGACAAACACCAACATATGGATTGCACTAAAACATAAGCCAACAGTCTTTTAAAGCTTCAATAAGCTGCTTCAGGCACCTTTCCCTCTTATACATTCTACTTTATATGAGAGAAATCGGAAACAGGACCCTATCAATTCCTGTTTTAGGTAACATTCTAAAGAATACACTCATCCCTGTAAAAATTGCTTTTTATGCATTTTAAGTAGTTACACTTATAAAGTCTACCAAATTGCAATATAAAAAGTTTTGACAATTCTGAGTATCTTCATTTGATGAATCAATTCATAACTTAGAAACTACTAATTCATTCGAAGTTATTAAAGAAATCAACTACTGGAGACACTGTGGTAATATATCCAGTGGCCTTATGCAAGGCTTTCTACATTACCTAAAATAGGGTGTTTTCTTCTATAAGTTAAAGCTGTTGGGTGCTGGTTTAGAATACAATCCAGTCTTCAGGTTAGTGTCAGTAGGTGACAAAGACCACCTATTCTGTCACCCTAGCAGAAAGAGGGCATGCCATAGTAGACACATATCTGTAAACTTGCACACTAATTTTAATCTTAAACAAGGAATTTCAGTGTCATACTGGTTTAAGTTAAAAGGATATTTCAAGCATTGTGTTCTTGTCTGTAGGGTTATAAATAGCTTATTGGAAAACCCAGAGCCTTCTGGATATGTGAGGTAGTAGGCTCCAACCCTCATCATAAACAGATCACACCTCTCCAAAGTTGGTGTGGCCTGTCTCCTTGGCATGGTCCCTCGCCTCTGCTTGTCCAGTTAATCCTTTCTGACATACCATGCATCTTAGGGTGAAGCGATTTACATCAGTAAATTGTCTCTTTCTTCTAGCTTCATCTGCTAATTCCAGTGCTTGTACAAGAACAATATCATCGTTTGAGGAGAAAATGGTCAAGGGAGGGGTATCTGGGTCAGGAAAGTTACGCTGAAGTGGATCATAGTGGATGCCATCGTAGATAAGCAGAACCCTTTTGGTATATCCTGCATCTTCCCCAAAACGATCAATTCTTACAGTTTGTGTATCTACTACACATATTTCACATTGATAAAATTTAGACAAAATCGATATCTCAATTGCTCCCCCCCAAGTATCATCCCTTTTGATCCAGTCACAATACTCTTGATTGGTTTTTCCCAGTATTGCCTCACTATAGAAGTCTGGATTACTTGCTACAATTTGTGCTATGAGGCGTCTCATCTCAGGGGCACAAGCTGGATTCAAAACGCCTCCTTCGACGACATAGTACACACTGGTAAACAGGCAAGAGTTGTCTGCTGGGACTGAGGTTCTGGCAAGCACAGGCAAAGTTCCCCTGACATAACTAGGAGCACCACGTTTTGAAAATGCAGCTGAAGCTTTGGGTCTGGTTTGGTCTTCTTCAACAATCAGCATGTCACCTGTTAAAAATAAAACAAATCCAGAACTGCAGAGAAATTATAAATGCAACTGGGTATTTAAGTCAACTTTGTAAATTACAATCCAAACAAGTTAAAGCATAAAGTGGGTTACTAAGGAGAACTCAACTTTTTAAACAAGTGATCAGTAACACTTTTAGCTATTTTAGTTCACTGTGTCTTCAGAAAGAGGAAACCAGAACAAAGAACAGAATGTTTCAAGTTGAATCCCAAATTGGTGAAGGGGCCTGAGCTACCTACTGTATACAAAGATTCATTTAAAAACAAAAGTTCCTTATATGTTCTGCACTTAAAAACACAAACCTTTCAGGTGTTCACTGTGGACTAGACCACTGGGGAGTTCTCATTGAACTTAAGCACACCATTAGGTGTTTAGTCCTTTACACAAAATCGCAAGCTTTTACCTATCAAGGCTGATACTGAGAAGAAACAGCTGCTGTTGGTTTTAATGAAGGGTTTTGGTGGTTGCAAAGCTAACTCTACAATGAATATATACGTCCAAATACTTGAAACAAAATGCAAAAACAAATCAGGATTAAGGGGAAAAAATGGACAAAATCGGTATCTCAAACGCGGACCTGCTGATCAGGACCGGGAAAAAGCATCATCAGACCAGGGAAACAACACATTTTTGGAAAAGCAGAGAAAATAAAATCAATGAGACAGTTCCACGATTGACCTGAAAGAAGGTTGGCGAAGGTGTAACTTCAAGACGGTGAGCTTTTCTTTCAACTCCCAGAAAAAGAAAAGCAAAGGGCTTGGGGGCGCTGGCCGTGTCTGGAGTTCTGGTCCAGGAACCCCCGCAGCCCAGACACCTGGCTTCACTGTTTTCTCCCCCCGCACAGGGACCCCCGACCCCAGCCCTTCTCCGTACCTGACTGGATAGGCAGGTCACCCAGAGTGGTGTCCCCGTCGCTAAGATCCAGGCACTCGGGAGGGAAGCCGACGAGGATTCGCTGACTGCCAGGAACTATCCCGGTGACAGCGGCAATTTGGCCCTGGAGCTCCCGCAGGCGGGTCCGGCTGGACAGACCCTGTAAAACGTGGGTGCCACCCTTGGCCTTGCAGCGCAGCCGCCACATCGTGTCGGCCGGCCCGACGCGCGTGGGGCCACCCTTGGTCCCCACCGCAGCCTGGGAAACGCCGCCAGAGCTACCAGCCGGGGGCACCCCAAAATGGCCGCCCTTGACGCGGCCAAACATCGCGAGAAGTAGAGGGCCGCTGGGTTCTCGCGACAACCAGGCGGGCCTCAGCCTCCGCTCGCTCCGACTCTTAAAGCGCCCGCGCGTCGGTCGGCTAGGAGGCGCTGAGGTTGAAGAACGCTTGCCCTGCACGACCGGAGCTTTTATGCTCCTGGGAGGGCAAGGATGTAACCTCGTCTGGATGTCGGAAATGATTAAAGCAGGCTTCCAACTCTAGGTAAACGACTCACAGGGGAGGTCAACACGTGCCAGGAAGGTTAGTAAGTCAAGAGACCTGTCAAACAGACTCGTGACTCGTTCGTGGCCTCACCTAACTGATTCACCGGACGACTGGCCTTGCCACGTCTGAGACAAACTTGAACGCGTCCTCAAAGGCTGTGCTTAGGGCGGCTGCTTCATCCGGGTGGTGGCAGCAGCTGGAGGAACGCAGAGGACTCACGCCATCGGAGTCCAGTTCCCGAGTTAAAAATGGGAAGACACCAACCAGTTCCCGCCAGTGGTGTTAACAACTACTCACCATAGCGTGAGAGACAAGTGACCCGACACCCTTACCTTTAGAGCCCGAGGCTGCGGTGACAGGAAGTGTTCAGAGTCCGGAGAGATCTAGCACGGTAGGGCTCCTAAAAAGCCTCCAAGCAGAGCCTACGCATCGAACTGCGGGAAAGATGCCCTATTCCCAGGCCCGGAGTTGAAAAGCGGCCCTCAAAATTTGCCATTTTCCATCCTTTATCAAGATGAGCAGCGAACCCAGCCGTGCCCACAGCGATCTGTCCATTGAGTCAAGCACCGATGGGTGTGCTAGAATACCTGAAAAGTGTAGGCCCTTTGGGGTGGGGAACACTGTCACAGCCTCCACTGAGTCAGTTGCAGGCCACCTTTGCTTTTTTTCACATCTACACCAGAAGCCAGCGCAGTTTTAGACCTTGGTTCTTGAACGTGATGACCGATACCAGCTAGAATCGGGCGAAGGGAAAGGAGGCGGTTCGGAGTCACCTGCAGCCTCTGGTCCCGAGCATAGTCGACCCCAGTATAGTCGATCACAGTACAGTCGACCCCAGTACAGTCGATCACTGTATAGTTGACCCCAGTACAGTCCACCCCAGTATGGTCGATCCCAGCATAGTCGATCACAGTCTTGTCGACCCCAGTACAGTCGACCCCAGTGTGTGTGGTCGACCACAAGCAGCATTCGGCACTGCGGTGGCGGGCAAGGCACCTGGAAAGCCCTTCCCCAGGCGTCCTGGGACTCCGGAATGAAGGCGTTAATCTGCGGCACCCCAGTCACGCCCCCTCAAGATGTCAGCTAGTTTTGGCGAGAATGAGAGTAGAGGCAAGACTTTTTATTATCCCTGCCTCCAGCCTTATTTGTTCCCTAGCAACGATGCCACTAGGCTCCTCCGGATGGGGAGCCGGGAAAGCCTTTAGCCCGCACAGTTCCTCTTCCGCGGCGGTCGGGTGGCTGTCGGCCTCCTGGGACCCTCCCCCTTCCCTGCTGGTGCGATTGGTGGCCAGAGTCTCCAGGTGAGGGCCGACGCGCACGTGGGCGGGGCCAAGGCAAGCCACGTGATTCGCCCGGGCCTTGGCGTGCAGGGACTTAAGTTCCACTACCGGCTCTGATTCGCGGTAAAAGACACCGGGCTGGCCGGAAGGCCCTTGAAAGGGTCACAGGGTGAGTGACAGCTGCATGGTCTGGAAGCGTCTGAGAGGCGGGATGCGGGTCTGTATGCGCTGGATCAGGTGCTGGGCGGTGGTGCTTCGCCCTTTCGGGAAATGCTACTTAACGGGGACTGCCCCGGGTGCAGGCAGACCTTCAGGAATCCTGAGCCACAGCTGGTGGCGGTAGGACTGAGGAATTTCTAAGATCAGCGGAGGAGCATTGCAAGGTCTTTGAAAACAGAGAATCGTATGTCTTCATGAGCCGGTTGGTATCTGTCTGAGTTTGGGGACTGCGCTCCAGGCTCTCCACCCAGACTGATATCAAAACCTATGACTTATTTTGCAAGTAACATTAGGTAAGTTTTTCACCTCCGCTGAGCCCTGGGGGCTTAATTGGAGGAGGGCTTGTGAATGAGAACACCAAGGGAGAATGGTAAGTGGCTCAGGTAACATGTTTATGGCTCCGTACCCCCACCCTCACCCCAGCCCACACTCCCATTCTTGTTTTTCTGGACGAGTCTTACCTTTGGATTGGAATCACTTTCTTGATAGTGCACTTGATCTTTGCCCCCTTCACCTCAGTTGCCACCCCTGTCCTTCCACATTCTGAAAACTAGAATGTGAGTTCAGGAAGAAACTTGGGACAAGCCACTTAAGTCGATTATCCTCAGTTTTTCAGTGCTGTAAAATGAGAAGTGATAATGGTAGGAAAAGCTTATTGGAAGGTTGAAAGTTTCTTGGAAGGACTGCTGGATTTAAGATGTATGAATGTAAACTAAGTCTACAAATAAATGCAAAGTTGAAATGCAAGTCTATAGGCAAGGAAGCAGAGGATTAAGAAAGTGTGACTTATCCAAGGACATGTGGCTGTGAATTGGGAGGAAGAGGCTGGACTTGACTCTAAGGCCTCGTTGCTTACCCCATCCTGATCCTCTGCACTGTTTTTAGGGACATCTTCCTTCCCTTCCATGAACTTTCCCCCTTTCTTTTCCAGGTGTCTCCTGAAGAGCTACTATGTCTGGGAACTGTGTATCTTCCACAGAACACAGTAGCAGCAGCAGCAGCAGCAGCAGCAGCAGCAGCACCAGCAGCAGCAGCAGCAGCAGCATCTGTAAACCGCAAACCACAAACCTTCGAATGGCAAAGAAGAAGTGCTGTGAGTTTTGGGGAAGAGGTGTTCTTTTCCCTTTCAGGATTTTTCACCATGGGAGTATAGTTAGGATAGTAGACTCTCTTACTTGTTGGGAGCGAGTAGTAATTCTTTGACATAGCAATTTATTTTTTATTTTATTTACTTATCTTGTTTGAGGCAGATTCTTACTATAGAACCGTGGCTGGCCTGACACTCACTTTCTAGCCCAGGCTATGCTCTGACTCACAGAAATTCTCCTGTCTCCACCTTTTGAGTATTGTGATTACAGACAACTGCTATCATGTATGACTTAACACAGGAAGTTAGAACAAAGTCTCCAGTGGGCAATTTCCTGTCTCAAACAAGTGCATTTAGTGACCTACCTCTTTGGGGCTAGACTGCTCTGTAGCCCATCAGTTTCTTGGTGTTTTCATTGGGGATATTGGCATGCTTGCCTAATGTTGGAACCAAATATTACACTTACAATATGGCAGAGTGGCAAGGTACAGGGTTAGCCTGGGGCTGCTACTCTCTCAGTCCTCCTTTATCTCTTGGCTATGTTCTGAAAAGGTGACACTCACTGCATAAATTGCAGGTAGGAACCAGACGTGGTGGCATAGGCCAGCAATCCTGGCTCTTGGGAGGTAGAGGCAGGAGGATCACGCATTCAAAATCATCCTCAGCTACATAATGAGTTTAAGGCAAGCCTGGGCTCCATGAGACATCATCTCAAAAAACAAGCAAAAATTTCATGTAGGAACCAGTACGCCTCACCCCACTCCTCCAGGCCTGCGGGGAATGAGCCCTGACATGTGACTTACAGTGTCTTGGGTACCTTACTTTCTTACAGGTTTAGTCTTGTCTTTTGTAGACTTTTTTCATAGAACATTTTAATGCACAGAGACGACAGAAGTAGTAACAGGGAAATGAAGCATCATTTCTGGCCCCCATGAATCTCCATTCCTTAGCATTGTTATAGGCTGTTGAGCCTCCTAAAAGGAAGAGGAATTGGTCCTCAGATTTTTTTTTTCTGGAAATCTCAGGAATATTTTAGCATTCTTGATCTTCCTTGTGGAATGTACCTTAAAAAAAACAAAAAAAAAAAACCATCAGTCACTCCAGTAAGAAGTGGTTGTGCATGTTAGTAGGTGGAAGGAAGTGACTGGCATGAGACCAGTACTGTCTCATGTTCAAAGTTTTCTCCAGAAGTTTGGTCTTGGTTATTAGTTTCATGGTTAATGATGATATTCTGTCTTTGGCATCCATGAGGCATGTGTTGGACAGAAGCAGCTGGTTTAGGTATGACACTGAGGTCGGCATACCTCTATGATTACGGTTTCCTTTCCTTGCCAGGGCAGGAAGCCAGGTACCAAGGGCAACATATCTCATGAGTTAGCATGTTACTCAGTGTAGCCTTTTAAAGCAGACTACCTGGGTTTCAACACTAGTTTTACTATTTCCTAGCTGTGCACCCTTGAAAAAGTTGTTTAACCTCTCTTTGCCTCAGTGTACTCCTTTTTAAAAACAACCCCCTCCCTCTCTTCCTCCTTTTTTAATCTACCCCCTCCCCTTTCCTTAGACAGTGTCTCACTGTGTAGCCTAGACTGGCCTTAAACTTCTGATTTTCTTTCCCTCAGCTCCTGAGCACTAGGATGACAGGTGTACATTACCACTCTCAGCCTACGTTACTCCTTTGTAAAGTGGGGATTCTAAAACATTTCTCCTAAGAGTGATATGAGAATTAAATAAGTAAATACAGACAAGCACCCAGATGAGTGTTGGACATAAGCTCCTGGGTGTAAATTTTTACAGTAACTCTATATGCCTCTTGTATTTACTTATGAAACATTAAATATAGATTGAACTATACAAATGCTGCCAGCACCTCATAATTTAAGAGTTCTATGAAAAATTTTTTTTTCAGTGAAGAATATTTTCTCCTATTGTTTGACAGTATGGTAACCCAGATGTTCTGATCCAGAGGAAGCCTGTTCCTGTTACTATGATACATAATCCAAAAGACAGCAAAGAGGGATGGGGTGAGCATCAGACAGAACTAGAGTCAGCATTTCTGGCTCTGCTCTGTTTCCAGCTAGCAGCCTCTCCTGCCTGCCTTCCTCACCCTGGATTGCTCTTCTGGTTTGAGGGTTTTGAATAAGGAAGCGGTAATCCCAGGTCTCTCTTATGTTCTCCAGACTGTTCTCTGCTCCAGGCTCTGGTTTCTCTTTTCCAGTATCTGCTCTCATAAAACTGCTTTTTATATCCAATTGAAGGACTCTGGGTTGTAGTTTCTATATCCCATTTCTCTTACCTCATGGTTGAATTGTGAGATTGTAAGTGACCAGCTATTGTCTCCTTCCTGCTAATTACACCTGCTTGCTACCTTTGAATCCGGAAGTGACTGGGCTTGACTTCAGGACTAAAGAATGGCTATAGGGAGCCTTACTGAGATTTCAGTTGCACTAGAATGGGGGTGCAGGTGTGCTGTCTGGGTGGGTCCTTTTAAGGTACTCAAATAAATGCATCCAGGGAGCTTTCAAGGTTCCCTGAGAATAGGAATTGGGGCTTCTATATGTTTTTCTTATTTATTATTCTTTCTCCTCCTCCTCATTTAATTATTTTTTAATATTTTGAGTCAGTCTATAGCAAATTCCAAAATATATTTTTCCCTAAATCCAAAAACAGTGCATGTTTAGGAAAACCCAAATAATAGAAAAAAAAAAAAGAAAGTAAAATCTCTTATAATCTCTTTTATGTCCACTGAATTTGATTCTTAAATAATTTATTTGTTTATTTTTATTTTTATGTTTATGAGTGTTTTGCCTGCATGTATGTAAATGTACCCATGTATGCAGTGCCCATAAATCCTAAATCCAAAAACAGTGCATGTTTAGGAAAACCCAAATAATAGAAAAAAAAAAAAAAGAAAGTAAAATCTCTTATAATCTCTTTTATGTCCACTGAATTTGATTCTTAAATAATTTATTTGTTTATTTTTATTTTTATGTTTATGAGTGTTTTGCCTGCATGTATGTAAATGTACCCATGTATGCAGTGCCCATGGAGGCCAAAAGAAGGCGCTGGATCCCTTGGAACTAGCGTTACAGACCACTGTTACCTTCCATGCGGGTGCTGGGAACTGAACCTGGGTGCTGTGCAAGAGCAGCTATTGCTCTTAACTTCTGAATTATCTCTGTAGCCTCTAAATTTGATTCTTTTAGATGTTTAATTCTGGTATATCCTATTAACAATAGACTCATAGTTTACATATCTGTTCCATTGACTTTTATTTTTTAAAAATTTTTACTGTACTTTGGACATTTTTTCATGTTGGTTGTATTAGTCACTTTTCTGTTGCTGTGATAGAAACAACATGACCAAGGGAACTTATAAAAGGAAGAATTTATTTAGTTTTTTTTTTTTTTTAACCAAAGAGGCAAGAGTTCATCATGGCCGGGAGGCTTGATGGCAGAGGTAACTGGAGTGGGAGCAGAAGCTAAGCACTCACATCTTCAAGCAGGCACAGAAGCGTAGCATAACTGGAGATCTGGCATGGCTTAAGAACTCTCCAAACCCACCCCCAGTGACTTGCTTCCTCCAGCAAGGTGACACCTTCTAAGACCTCCCAAAACAATGCCACCAACTGGGGACAAAATGTCCAAATACATGGAGCATATGGGGGACATTCTCATTCAAACCGCCACATTGGTAAATTCAGATTTACTTCATTCTACATTGTATGGATCTCAATCTATAGACAATCATTTCACATTTTTCACTATCATAAAGAATGCTTCAATGAACACCATTACACTTCTGCATGCTTATATCAGTAACTTTTCATACAGAAGTAAAGAGCATGGTAAACCATTGGTAGACCATTAGAAATCTTGATTTGTGTTACAAATGTGTTCTTTGAAGTTCTGTATTTTAAACTATTTTCAGTACTTCAAGATATTTAGTGGAAGTTGGGTATTACCAACTGTAGCTGTACTGGTTAGTCAAAACATCAGTTTTCTAAGTGTTTGGCTATAATTATATGAACTTGGTTATTTTATGCCTACCAGACAAACAGCTAGACAACAGCTAGAGGGAATAAGTTTTATGACTTGATGAATAAAAGTAGCACTAATGAAACATGCTTTATGAGCTGTGTATTTCAAAATATTGGGCCTATTTAATGTGAATAATGGAAGAAGTCCTTGGCCATGGAAAGACTGGGAACCATTGGCCTCTTAGACATTGATAATAAAATTCCTTCTGGGAGGTGTAAACAATGTCTGCCCCCTCCTCCCTTGTACCCTGTGACAAACTGAGGTGTGATTTTTGCCAAACTACAGTCTGGGAAACCAGTGAGTTCATTGGGCTTACTTAGCAGTGGGCGAGGGTTTACTTATAGGAGTGTGGGTGCTCCCCGCTAAAGCCTCACTGGAAAGTCTTCATCCAAGTGTGGACGGTGACTTCTCCACAGCTGCATAAAATATTGAGAGAGCCTTCTCTAGGCTTTCTCAGCCTGTATACACTAGCCTCTCCTCCAGACTATGTCCAACAAGGGCCGACTGATTGGTTGGGAGGTGTGGCTGACTCTTCCCTGCCCCTCCTTTCTCACAGAGCATAATAGTAAGCTTAGCTATGATGATTCTAAGCAAGTGGGTACAAGCAAGCTTGGGAACATGGCATCTATCCATGGTCTGTCTGTCAGAGGACAGTCCTGTGCAACAGACATTTTCCTGGATGAGCATGGAGAACAGTCATGTTTGCTGTGGAGTCCCTTTTGTCAAGTGCTAATGTGCTGTCCAACAGCTGGCAATCATGAGATCAGAACTTTAGTTTTCCTATATATATGAGAGAAATTGTCAAGCCTTTGTTTTGATTAAGTGTGCTTATGAAGGGAGAATGAGTTGAAGATGGATAAAGCAAGTTGATCTTTGCATAAAGAAGATGAAAGAATTTCAGGATTGAAACAGTTTTCAATTGTATATCAAGAGATGATGTTATAGTATCTCTAGAATCAGTCAATGAAATGTGTCTTCCGTTCAAATTAAGGTCATGGTTTTGGTTTCTACAGGAAAGAATGCCTAATTTTTTTCCAATGTGGCAGTTTGAGATAGGAAGTGTTGTTTAGTTAGTTTTCCAGAAAATGAGAAGCCTGGTTATAGCAGGTGTGTGGGTGTGCTCTGGGCCAAGGCTAGGGGTATGGTTCTGAAGGGTAAGGGTGCGGAGTGCCTGGTGGCCCAACCCTGTGTCTTTTGTTCTTAACTTTCTCTGTCCAGTGTGGGTAACAGCAGCTAGCTCCCTGGTTGCTTTCTGAGTAGCTCCTAAGTGCCCCTACTCTTTTTTGTTGTTGTTGTTGTTGTTGTTGTTTTTGAGACAGGGTCTCCCTGTAGTCCCAGCTGTCTTGGAACTCACTATGTAGACCAGGCTGGCCTCGAACTCACAGAGATCCATCTGCCTCTGCCTCCCGAGTGCTGGAATTAAAGGCGTGCGCCACCATGCTCGGCGTGCCCCTACTATTTTAAGCTTTAGGGAGGGAAACAGCACCTTTGGGGGAATTGCCTAATATTAGAAGATATGAACAGAGTAGGTCTAAAAGTGAAGGCAGTGATCCAAACAGTGGGTGTCCAAAGGAGCATGTATTAAACTGGAAAACATGATGACTCGGAGTTTACTCCTAGAAGCTGATGTCAAGCAGACCTATTTGCCTGTTAGGGTCAATGATCAGGAACCAATGCCCATGAAGATTACAGGGTGTTATTTACTTATCTCTGAGCTCCGTGTTTGAATAGAGATGAAAATTGCACATGCTGCTTCATTACCTGTCTTGGCGAAGGCCCTGCCCAGTCATCCCTTTCTTCCACACATAGGGGTTGAAGCACTAAAAGTCTAGCACTCTTGTTCTCCAGGTCTCTTCATTCTTCTTTAAGGAAAAAATTCAGTCAAGAGGCATTTAATAGAATGTTTAAACAGAAGTTTATTTAGCAAAGCTAAGCAAAGCAAATATTCCAGAGATTGAAGTTGGCTTCCTCAAGGTGAAGACAGTCCAATGGGTTTTGCACTGTCAATTTTAAAGACGTTTTTAATGAATGTTTATGAGGGTGGTGGCATATTCATGAAATAAAGTGCTGCTTTTTCCCTCCTGAATCATGGTGGACCAGAGCTCTCTTGTAGAGTATTTCTTCCTATGATCCCTGCAAAAGGTAGTGGGATAGGGGATGTAAGAACTACAATGCACTTAATATAATGACAACTTGTCTCAGACCCTTTGGTAGAAATGCCAAAGGCAATTTGAGAAAATGCCCTAATGCCTTAGTTTCTGATATAGTGGGAACTTGGAGCGTCAAGGATGTAAAATGTCAGGAGACATAGTTGCCAAGATCCATCTGCGGTTTTCCTCAGTTCATATCTAACCTTTTGCCTGCTCTGCATCAGTGTCCATCTGTCTCTCACTGTGGTTTAGAAATTAAAACTGAAGGACTTCATGACCTGAATATAGAGGTCAAAATAGCTTGAGGCAAGGTTCTTTGTTCAGTAAATCAGCAAAGTCCTCCCAATGTCTCTGAAGGGATGTGTGGGATCCTCAAAGTAGAAACTCTTTTTAAAGCCAGTGCAATTTGGGACTGATAGAGTCACAGCTGCATTTCCATGTTGCTAGGCATTCTCATGGTAGAGAAGTGGCATGGTTACCATCTTCCTTATCCTTACTTCTTTTTCTTTCCATCCTGGGAACCCCTGTGAAGACCTCTGGGAAAGACATACCTTGGTGGGGGTACCTTCCGGAAGTCTGCATGACACTTTAACTCTGTTTCAAGAGGATATGCCAAATATAATCTCAGTTTGCCTTCTTACCCTTCCTGGACCTTTGCCCTGTAGGTTTATGAGGATTAAATGAGATTATGAAGTTCCTCATCCAGGGCATGAGCACTACTAGGCTTGTCACTTAGCTCTCCTTGTTTTACTTCTTTCAGCATGGGCTTCCTATATGACCAACTCTCCAACTCTCATTGTTATGATTGGTTTGCCAGCCCGGGGAAAAACTTACATGTCTAAGAAACTAACACGTTACCTCAACTGGATTGGGGTACCCACCAAAGGTAGGTGCAGGGCATTTCTTGGGAAGGGAGTGTTTAGTTCTGGTGTTCCACAGGCCTCTTAAGAGACTATCTCTTCCTAATATGAAGGTCACATAATGCTTCCGACAAAAATAAAGATTGCTTTCTCATTCTCTCTTTATTTATCTCCTGTCCCTAGACTTGCCTCCTGTAGGTCTGGGCAGATTGGCCTGATTTTCATGAAATACCTTTGCTAGAAGCATTAAGAATTAAACAAGGGGCTGGAGAGATGACCCAGTGGTTCAGAGCATTGGCTGCTCTTGCAGAGGACCCTTTGATTCTCAGCACCCACATGGCAGCTAACAATTATCCATAACTCCAGTTCCTTCTTACCTCCTTGGGCATTGCATGACAAGGGTGCACTTACATACTTGCAGGCAATACACTCATACATAAAATAAAAATAATAAAATTTAATAAAGTATTTTTAAAAAGAATTAAATGAAAATAGGGTTTACATTTTCAAAACTCTTGCCACAGGTGTCATATTATCTCACCCCAATAGTACCCTCATGAAATGGAGTAGTTCAGGAAATAGTCAGATTTGCGCAAGTTCTCTTAAGTCAGGACTTAAACCCAAGTCTTTTTAATTTGTTCTCAACATAGAATGGTGCTCTTTTCATCCCTTGGCCACTCTGTTAGGCCAAGAAGTCTCCTTTAGAGGGGTCATCATATTGTTTTTGCTGCAGTGTTTAATCTTGGGGTATATCGGCGTGAAGCAGTCAAGTCCTATAAGTCTTACGACTTCTTTCGACATGACAATGAAGAGGCCATGAAGATCCGCAAGTGAGTCTTGTTTTTAAAGGCCTGACCTAAGTCAACTCTTTCTGGGCCACTGTGAGACTGAATGTGATAGGGCTTCATTTTTTTTTCAGGAAATACCTTGGGAGTGGGGAATTTTAATGGAAGTTACTTGATAGAAAGATCAGCTTGAGTAAGGTGGGAGACAGATCTAGAAGATGCTTGTATGTGAAGCCTAAGGAGGGATACAACATATGCAGAGGGGCAGGGAAGAAGGTATAGGATGGTGTATAAACTTCAGCAGGAAAGTTGAAAGATTAGTTAGGGTAAATGTTTTGACCAGAAATTTACTGGGAAGTGGCATGACATTTAGAACCGCATGTGTCTCTGGCTTTGCTGGTCTTAGCTCTTCCACTGACTTCTTTGTTCTTATGGCAGGCAGTGTGCTCTAGTGGCACTGGAAGATGTCAAGGCTTATCTTACTGAAGAGAGTGGACAGATTGCGGTAAGCTGTGTCTGCTGTCCTTTGTTCATCTGCATTCTTTCAGTGTCCTGGCTACACAGCCCTACCAAGAGTCTGCTTTGGGTGGAGTTCCATTTCCTTCTCCCCTTTATTTACCTTGTGTGCTTGTGTTTAGGTGTTTGATGCCACCAATACCACTAGGGAGAGGAGGGACATGATTTTGAACTTTGCTGAGCAGAATGCCTTCAAGGTAGGCTCTGACTTTATGCTGGAAGCAAAGGAACGGGTGGTGGTGGGGAGCTGGGTTGGAGAGATGAGAGTGTGAATCTCTTTGATTCTGGTGAGCAGAGGATTAGATGTCTAATTCTCTTCTCTTGGGCTATACCCCCCAATCCTTGAGTGTTTTCTTTTAGGTCCTTTTCCAGACCTTTATTTAACCTGTGTGTGTGAGGTCCATGGGAGGTGGTAAGAGCTGTTTCTAAGTGAGAGGAGGCCTTGAAGGCCCCTTTTGTGAAGAAAATCCTGGAGATGTGGTAGCTGGGTGGGATATATGAGCATATGCTTTCAATGAAAACCTGGCATTTTTGACTTATTTATCATGCCTTCTCTCCATGGCCAGGTATTCTTTGTGGAATCTGTCTGTGATGATCCTGATGTCATTGCTGCCAATATCCTGGTGAGTGCCATCGCTGTATGTCGCCTTCTATAAGTGTGTGTGTGTGTGTGTGTGTGTGTGTGTGTGTGTATGTGTGTGTAGGGATTCTGGATAATGAAAGAAAAAGATGTGTTTGACATAATGAAAAAAATCTTTTCTACAAGAGCACCTTTTTAAACTTTATACTTTTCCCTTGAGAAAAGAAACTGGGGCTTTGAGGAATACAGTAAAAGTAGGCTTCTGAATGGAAACCAGGACCTAAACTGTGGGAGTCCTGGCCTTGTGATCTGATATTATATGATGCTGAGTCCTAAATATTGGACTAGATCAGACTCTTTTTCATCCATGTGCCTTATTGGAAAGTCATTTGCCTAGTCTAATGTTTTGGTCAGCCTTGAGCATTAAGCTCTTAAACCCTGTGGAGCACAGCAAAAGACAGTACCCTTTGGATGGGTTGTGTTGTATGTTGAGTAGGTGACTTTGCAAGGTCTCTGGAGGTGCTTTCACAACATCATAGGACCTGGCGTTATCTGATCTGAGGAAGAGGTCCTGAGTCCCAGGTCAGGTATTGGGTTACATACCCTATTCTGAGAAGCAGCAGAGGGAATTTGGAAGCCATTCTATGTTCCCAGGAAAATACATAAAGGAATCAGGCCAGAAGCAGCATCAAATGCATAACCCCTCTCTATCCTCAGGCCAGAGGCAGGCTCATGACTCTAGTCATCTTTTTCTTAGGCCAGGCTCACAGGACAGGAGAGTGCTTAATGAGTGGGCAGTGCTGATGCTCTAGTGAAAAACTATTTTTATGGGCTTCTTTTCTTTTTTAGCAGTGTCTGTTTGTAGCAGGGTTGTTAAGTAAGCAGAATTCTTTTTTTTTTTTGTCTTTTTGAGTTAGGATCTCCCTGTAGCCCCATCTGTCCTGGAACTCACTATGTGGACCAGGCTGGCCTTGAACTCACAGAGATCTACCTGCTTCTGCCTCCTGAGTGCTGGGATTAAACCATGCCCAGTAAGCAGAATTCTTAATAAGACCTTTATATTCCTATGATTTCAGGACGTGAAGGTGTCAAGCCCTGACTATCCTGAAAGGAACAGGGAGAATGTGATGGAGGACTTCTTGAAGAGAATTGAGTGCTACAAAGTCACTTACCAACCCCTTGACCCAGACAACTATGACAAGTAAGGTTTAAGGTCAATATTTGAAGAGTCGAGATAGGAGGAAAAGAGTCTTTCTCCCTCTTGTCCTTTAAAGCTTTCTGGTGTAGACCCATGATATTTATGTTGTTTAAAGAACAAAGTTTGTATTGTGACATTTATGTGGGTTGTGTGCTTTAATCACTGAACTTTAAAATGCTTCTGTATTTTATTTATTTATTTATTTATTTATTTATTTATTTATGTATTTATTATTTCTGTTTTGTATATATGAGTGTTTTGCCTGCATGTATTTGTATGTATGTAAGTATACCCATGAGTGCAATGCCCAAGGAGGCCAGAAGAGTGTGTCAGATCCCCTGGAACTGTGAGTGCTGTTAGCCACCATATGGGTGCTGGGAACTGAACTTGTGTCCTACTACAAGAACAGCCAGTGCTCTTAACCACTGAGACATCCATCTCTCCAACCCCTACTGAACTATTTTTTAAAAATATTTATTTTATTTTAATTTTTGTCTTTTTGAGACAGGGTCTCCTTGTAGCCTCAGCTGTCCTGGAACTCACTGTGTAGACCAGGCTGGCCTCGAACTCACAAAGATCCACCTGCCTCTGCCTCCCAAGTGCTGGGATTATTTTATATGTATGAGTGTATTGCTTGCATGTATGTTAAGTGCAACTGTGTCATGCAATGCCTGCAGAGGTTTAAAGAGGGTGTTGGATCCCCCAGAACTGAAGTTATGGATGGTTGTTAGCCTCCATGTGGGTGCTGGGAACTGAACCTGGGTCCTCTGGAAGAGCAGCCAGTGCTCTTAACCACTGAGCCATCTCTCCAGTTCCCCACTGAACTGTTTTTTGCCATCAGTTTTTTTATTCTCTAGAACAAGCTTTTCCATCTCAGCATTACCGTATATAGGCATTTTGAGCTGTATAATTATTTGTTGTAGAGTCTATTCTGTGTATTATAAGATGTCGCTCAACATCCTTGTCCTCTTTTTACTAGATGCCAGGAACACCTCCATGCTGTAAAAATTTAAAATGTTTTCAGACATTAGCAAATGTTTCCTGGGGATCCACATTATCCCTAGTTAAGAACCATGGCTCCAGATTAGTAAATCCGAACTAGGATATCCCTTTGAGATGTGTCATCAGTTTTGATCCATTTTAAAGTTTACCATATGTTATATAATACATGTCTTAATATATATGATTATGCTATATAGCATGTGTCGCACAGAATGTTTCATACACACACACACACACACACACACACACACACACACACGTACTCGCTTGAGTCAGGGAGAAACGTCTGATAACTACTAGCCATCTAAGGTACAAGAGCTAAAATAAAATGTTAAGTCCATGTTGAAGAAAGATGGTGCCTACATAGAAACCTGTGGGAACATGGCCTTATGAAATACTGTGTTTGGTTCTGTTTTGTTTTTTGAAACAGAATCTCAGGGAACTCCACACCAGTCTTTAACTTACTATGTAGCTGAGGATGACCTTGAACCCCTGATCCTTCTTCCTCCACCTCCATAGTGCTGAGATTACAGGGTGCACCATTATTCCTGGCTCAGAGTTGAGAAGAGACAGCTCTTTTGGTGAGGACAGCATGGCAGCAGGACCAACTCTTGCCCATGGTGTTGGGAGGCTGCCTGCTTGCATCTCAGAGGGTCAAGAAGCAGAGGTTATGGTGCTCACCTTTCTACCTTTCTTCTTTTTCATTCATTTATTTATTTATTTGGAGTCAAGGTCTTACTCTGTGTTCTAGGCTAGCCTTGAATTCACAGCAGTCCTCCTGCCTCAGCTTCTTAAGTGCTGTGATTATAGGTACGAGGCACTATGTCTGGCTTAGTTTCTTTTTATTCGGCCCAGGATCCCCTAGTCCATGATATGATACTGCCCACAATCAGGGTGAGTCTTCCTCATTTAATCTTCTGTGGAAACAAACACCCTCACAGATACATGCAAAGGTGTACCTCATTAGTACCCTAGGCATTTTTTAAATTCAATCAAGCTGATAATAAAAAATAGTCACCATGTATGTACATTTGGGGGCATTTAACAGTTTTAGTCACATGAAGATACAGCATTTTAGACAAGCAAATAGAAACATCATTAACATTGTACATAGCACAATGTTGAATCACTACAATTGTCTGATTGATGTTTTGGAGTTTTTAATTTCTTCAAATGGGTTGCCCAGGTATAAGTATTTAGAAGGGTTCCCATAATAAGTGGCTGAAAATCACTGCTGGATATAGAGTATGGGGCATCTTCAGTTAGCCCTAAGTCCTGTATAGAAAAGTATTCTAGAAAGACATTTATGTGTAGGCGTATATGTTTATAGATTTTCACCTCATTGATGGGTGATTTACATTATTCTACCTTTTTTCCTGAGTACCGTTTTGAATAAACCCGTAATTACTTTACTATTAAGAAAAGGACTATGGCCACAAAGCAATCATTTGCAGAAATGCATTTGGGGGAGGTTGATTAGGTGGTGTGAGGTGTGGGTAGACGTCTGTCTCAGCCTGTGGTTGTTCTCCTTCCTTCCTTCATCCTGAGGTGCCATGTTCTTGTTAGATCTTGACCACTTCAGGTGGAGCCTGTATTTCTTACCAAATTTTTAATTTAGAAAAATCTTCAGGTCACTTAGTCTAGGCCCTGAAGGAAAGCCTGGATTCTGTTCACCAAATGTACCTACATTGCATGGCACAGAATTGGCACCAAGGAAATAGTACATACTTGCTAGAAGTTAAGAAATTGTATGCTAGTATGCTATCTTGGTTTTGGGGCGTAATCTCTTACCTTTTATTGGTCTTTTGGAGACAGGTCTCCTAGTTCCTTGTCTGGTCTCCCAGCTACCTGGAACTCACAATGTAGACCAGGCTGGCCTTGATCTTGTAGAGATCTGCCTACCTTGGCATCCTGAGTGCTGGGATTAAAGGTGCACGCCACCACACCTGGCCTGCCTCCTTCCATTTGGTTCCATAAATGTGACAATAATGGGAGAGGAGGAAGAGCTGGTGTGGGTATGCAAGTCAGTGTGGAAATCCTTCCCTGTGCTTGTTTGTTCATTTGACCCAGGCTGGCCTCAGATTCATGATCCTTCTGCTTTAGCCTGGAAGTGCTGGGGTTATAGGCAGATGCTAATATGCCTTGGGTACCCCCCCCCCTTAGTTTCAGATTTTCTTACCCTGAAATTTCTTCTTCCTGCTCCATCCTAGGGACCTTTCTTTCATCAAGGTGATAAATGTAGGCCAGCGATTTTTAGTCAACAGAGTCCAGGACTATATCCAGAGCAAGATAGTCTACTACCTTATGAATATCCATGTACAGCCTCGCACCATTTACCTTTGCCGGCATGGAGAGAGCGAGTTTAATCTTTTGGGCAAGATTGGGGGTGACTCTGGCCTCTCGATGCGGGGAAAGCAGGTGAGTAGTTAGCCAGCAACCTGGATTTCCTAAGCTTAGAATTAGAAGGGTGTGGTGGAGGTCATCTGTTCTATCCCCTTCTGCTTAAATCCCATTTGGGTTTAGGCTGTGGTTTCATATAACCAGGCAAGTGCTAAAGATGTTTTCTTGCTTATTGCTCCTAGGAGATTAAAGTATGGGTAGCCCTCTGAGCAGACCCTTTCTGCTCTCAGAAAATTATTTGGTACAATTTGTGATGTTAGCACAGGGTACTCTAGCTGAAGTTCATTTCCTCTTGGGCTTGTATTTTGACAGTGACTAGACAAACTGCCACTGTTGGTCAAGTTAGCAGTCTGTGTGTGAGTGCTATTTTGTTGTGTGTTTTCTTTGTTTAGTTTTTATTTTCAAACTCTAGTTTGCTCAGGTTCTAAGGAAATTTCTGGAGGAACAGGAGATCCAAGACCTCAAAGTGTGGACAAGCCAGCTGAAGAGGACTATTCAGACTGCTGAGTCCCTTGGGGTGACCTATGAGCAGTGGAAGACCCTCAATGAGATTGATGCTGTGAGTAGGAGTTTCTGATCCAGGCGGAGTTATGATTTGGGTAATTTTTTAGAAAATTAGAATCACAAAGTAGAAACTGAGGAATCTGAATCTGGCCATTTCAGAGGTTAGGAGAGAAAGTGGGGGTAATTCTACCCTTAGTCCGGTCTTCTTGGCTGCTCAGGCTGGTGCCTGTGGAGAGTAGAGTCTACTAAGGACTCATTTTGTTCCTTTGTATTTTCCACCTGGAAAAAAACAAATGCCTAGTCAACTCAGTTCTTTAATTTTTGCTTTGATCATTTGGTCAGCAATTCTGTAAATTCTTAGAATTTCCCTAAATTTCTCTTGCTTTCTTTATTTCTGAGCACAAAATTAGACATTTCTTTTTTTTTTTTTTATATTGAGACTGAGTCTAACTCTATAGCACAGATGGGCCTGGAACTCAGGATCTTCCTGCCTTGGCTTCCCAAATACTGAGATTACAGGCACAATCCACTATGCCTAGCTTACATCGTTCTCTTTCTATACTCCTTTCTACCCTTTTATTCCTCCTACAAGGTTTCCAGTCCCCCCAGTTTCCCTTCTTCACCTGCTTCCTGACCCTTTTATACTGTAGGTTCCTTCTGACTTGTACCTTCCCTTTTAGTTGCTGGTGAGAGTTGCAGCTTCAGCTAGAGAAGTCACTTTTCTCCTAGTGGCTCTTACGGACGACACTTTGTAACACCCTGTGCCACTGGTCACAGTCAGCTACAGTACACCAAAGGGCTCAGTGCATGGCTCCAACACATAGTGAGGAATTAGTGTTCTTCAATGACATCTTTCTCAGCAGGGATGTAGTGAGCGTAGACCAGCCTACATCTAAAGCCAGTTCGGCTCCTTGCAGGGTGTGTGTGAGGAGATGACATATGCCGAGATTGAGAAGCAGTATCCAGAGGAGTTTGCACTTCGAGATCAAGAGAAGTATTTGTATCGATATCCTGGTGGGGAGGTAAGGCTTCCTTCACTTGGAGAACTGTCCAGCCCTTTACTGGGAGCCTAGCTTTAACCTAAGGGAAGGATTATGTCTGGTCTTGAGAGAAGTAGAAAGGGTGACGTAGGCATCACTGCTTATCAGCTGACATACTCAATGATTTATGCTTTATGAATTTGTTAAGATCTCTAGGGAAGAGGGTAATGAGATCCTCTGTATTGAGAGTGTTGTAGAATGGACATAGTCTTCCTTTTGTTCATTCTCTTCCCTTTGCCTCACTATCATCTAGTCACCAAATAAGCATATAGGGCATGCGGTACCTCCCTCCCATCTTCCATGTTGCTGTTTTCCTCATCTGAATGACTTCCTATTCTATGGGTGAGATGGTAAAGGCAAACAAAATATAGTGCAGAGGTACAGGAAACTTCTAGAAGTCTTTGGCTGCCTTGCCCACTACCTATTAATCTCTGGGAAGAAAAGAGAAACAAACAAATTGAATTCAAACTTCCTTGTCTTGAACAGTATGTGGTTTGGGGTCTAAGTATTGCTTTTGAAAGACCTAGGTATTCTTAAGAAATCAGAACTGGGGAAGTTAGGCCACACAGAGACAATAGACCTTCAGGAGTGGTCTTTTGACTCTGAGAGTTGGCCAATAACATGACTACCAGTGTGCACCTAGCTCTTACCAGGTCTCCTCACTTCTCCTCACAGTCATACCAGGACCTGGTACAGCGGCTGGAGCCTGTCATCATGGAGCTGGAACGTCAGGGCAGTGTCCTCGTCATCTCTCATCAGGCTGTCATGCGCTGTCTCCTGGCCTACTTTTTGGATAAGGGTGCAGGTGCCATTTGAGGGAAGGGATGGGGGACACATCCACATGGATAAGGCTGGGCTTGGTGGTATAAGGATACTAGCCCCTTCCCCTCTTCCACTCAAATTAGAAAATATTCTTCAGGCAGCACTGTGGGACTTCCAGCAGCCATTGGCCAAGTACTTGATAACTTCACTCTTTTGCTACAGAAGCCCCCAGTGGAGGCTGGCTACATTGGTGCTGCTTGATCCTGCCTGGCTAAAGGACCAGCCATAGGCTGACATTACTGGCAGACATCAAGAGGGTGGTTGAATAGTACCAATTTGCCAGTCTAGCTACTGGGAGGTGGTATATTAGAATACTCTTCATCCTCTGAGTTGGGGATAGAGCAGCTGTTTTAGAAAAGAGCAGGATGGAAATGCTGCTCAGGCCCTCCTCTCCCCCACTCTTTGGGCTACCCCAAACCTGCAGATTGGCCTTTGATTGCTCAGGTAGGCCACAGTCTTCCTTTCCAGGAGGCCTTCGTTTTAGAACATCTTTCTTTTTTTGTGTACATTTCAAATCTAGAATGGCCTTTTCTCCTTCCTTATGACCCAATAGCTTTCATAACTTCTTTGGACTCTTCCTGAGTTTATGGGAGAAGCTGTACAGCCCTAGGTGGTGATCAGAGTAAAGAAAACTTAAGAGCTCCTTAGATTCTTTTTCTCAAATGGCTTTACTCTGTAATACTGTGAGACTTCCCTTACTGGATCTTTTTTCTTTCAGATGAGCTACCGTACTTGAGGTGTCCTCTCCATACCATCTTCAAACTTACTCCTGTGGCCTATGGTAACTATGAGCTTGAGCTGGTGAGAGGTGGGGATCCAGGAAGGTCAGCATATCTAAGTTGTCACTGAAAATTGTCTGAAGTTCTACTTCAGCACCCCTGTATAGCAGGGATGTTCCATTAGTCGTTTTCATTTTAAACGAATATATTCATGTGTGCATATTTGAGAGTATTTTTTTGAGAGTATTGAGAGTATTATATGCCCTGTTGGCATGCTTGGTCATACTGAAACTGAGGAATTTTCTCTTGAGCTTTTTCTTGATGGCTTTAAAAAAATTATTTTTATTTTATGTATATGAGTGTATTGCCTGCATGTATGTAAGTGTACCTATGTTGTGCAATGCCCACAGAGGACAGAAGAGGGCATCAGGTCCCCTGGAACTGGAGTTGTGGATGGTTGTTAGCTGTCTTGTGGGTGCTGGGAATCAAACCCGGATCCTCTGCACAGCAGCCAGTGTTCTTAACTGCTGAGCCATCTTTCCAGCCCCCTTGATGGCTTTTTTAAAAATTAATTTTTATTGATTTTTTTGTGAATTTCATACAATGTATTTTGATCATATTTAGATCCCCTCATCTATCTGCACCTCCCCACTTTCTAACCCCCCACCAAATTTATGTACACAGACACACACACACACACATATTTATTTATAGGCATATATATATACATATATATATTTATAGGCTTATAAATATATTTATATATGCCTATAGAGTCAGTCAGGTTTGTATTCCCAAATGCCCTTAAGTATGCATTCATCCACTGGGGCCTGGTCAACCTACTAAGAATCTCACCCTTAAATGAAGCTGAATCTCCCCTTCACAGAAGTCATCAGTTATGTTTTTCCTCAGGTAGGGTTGGGATTTCTTACCCACTTCCCCATATCTGTGCTTGAATTTTGTCTGCCTTGATCTTACGTGGAATTTGTGCATGCCATCACCATTGATGTGCATTCACATGAGTAACTGACCAGCTGTCTGAAAAACTTTCCTTGTCATCCACCACTGCTGGCTCTTACAATATTTCTGCCCCCTCTTCTACAATGATCCCATAGCCTTGGGAGGCACAAGTGTGATGTAGATGTCCTATTTAGGATGAGCAGTCTGCAGTCTCTTATTCTCTGCACAGTGGCTAGTAGTCCTCTGTGTTAATCACTACCTGCTACATAATGAAGCTTCTCTGCTGAGAGTTGAGAGGTGCATTAATCTATGGGTATAGCAATAAGTCATTAGGAGTCAGTTTAATACTATACCTACTTAATAAAATTGTTGTAGTAGTCTTTCTCTCATGGTCTGTGGCCCATCTAGCCATAGGTTTCTAGGCCTGATATCAGTGTCAGATATGGGCTCCATCCTATGAAGTATACCTTAAATCCAGTTAGAAAGTAGTTGGTTACTCCTGTAACATTTGTACCACTATTGTACTGATGGGCCTATCTTTGCAGGCCAGTTGTTGTAGCTTAAAGGATTCATAGCTTGCCAGGTCTGGCCTAGAACTAGGCTGGCCTGGAACTCATGACAATCCATCTGCCCCGGCCTCCTGAGTGCTGGGATTACAGGTGTGCCTCTGACAGCTTTTGTTTCCTCTCTTTTCTCAGGGTGCAAAGTGGAAACAATTAAACTCAGTGTGGAGGCTGTGAACACTCATCGTGACAAGCCAACCGTAAGTATTTTCTCATCACCTGAGCCTTTAAATCTTTGGCATCAAGAGACTTGGGTTTTTCTTATGTAAAAGAAAAACAGATTCAGAATTCACGACCTGTATGGTCTCCTTACTTCCAAAAGGAAAAGATGAGGGAATTACTAATTTTTAAAATGAGTACCCTTTTCATGAATTGTAACCCTGAAAGTTGGCTCCTGGGAGTTGAGTTAAATATACAAAGTGTTTGGCTAAAGTGAAATGTACAAATTCCCCTGCTGCAACCCTGGGGAGGCAAACCAATGGAGTGAGCAGGTACAGGTCATCTCCTTGGTCTGTTCCTAGCGATCTGTGTGATTTTAAGCAAACCCCTCTTTGTTGGTTCCCTTCACTGCACCGGGATGTGATGCCTAGGGACCGTCTCCTGTGATATCTTTTTACTTGCCTGAGGCTAGGGGATCAAGCTACATCCTGTGCGCAGAGCTCATTCTTACGTGCAGAAGAGCAGGAGGAAGAGCTTTTATGCTCAGGAGCATTGTTTGACCTTTATGGATGAGGTTTTGGCATGGCTTTTCATGTATATGGTATCCCTCCATTTCCAATCAGAACAACTTCCCCAAGAACCAAACCCCTGTAAGGATGAGAAGGAACAGCTTTACGCCTCTGTCCAGTTCGAACACAGTAAGGCGTCCAAGAAATTACAGTGTTGGGAGCCGGCCCCTCAAGCCCCTCAGCCCTCTCCGTGCCCTGGACATGCAAGAAGGGGTGGACCAGCCGAAGACCCAAGTCAGCATTCCGGTGGTGTAATTGTGTGTTTCCCTCCAGCTTTGGCCCCTTGCCCTTGCCACTAATCACCAAGAAGTCATTTAACTTCACCCCCATTCCTACCCTCAACACCATTAATCTTAGCACAGAATATGCACCCATGCGTGTGCAAAATAACTTTAGCTATTCTGAAGTGTTAAACATCTCACCCAGGGGCAAGAGGCAAGTTGGGTCTTTTAGGACAGGTCCCTAGGTGGGGTGGTCTGGAGGAAGAAGAAAAGGATATATACTCCCCTGGAGCCAAAAATGAATCACATACTTGGTTCTTTTCTCTGTTCCCTGATGTCTCAACTCACTGATGTCCTTGTGTTGGTGAAGTGTTGTGTGTATGTGTGTTTGGGGGTGGGGAGGCAGTGCTGAATAGAGAGAGACACAAAAACCCATTTGTCCTTCCACCTTTGTCCTTTTAATGTGTCTTTACAGTCCTTACTTGACTTCCCTGTCTTATAGCTTCTCTTTGGGATATCTGGTGTAATGCATGGTATTATGGTGTCTTAAAGTAAAGGATAGCTGATAGAAGTCTAGGCCCCATTGATGCTGTCTGCAGAGGGTCTGGACCTGCACTGGGAGAGTCTTCCCTCCCTTCTCGCTTCCTCTCCAGCCAGGTCCTACAAGGGTCAGCCCAGGCTACAGAACATCCACAGAATGCCCTGGAGTTTGCAAGTGGACATAGGGTGAGAGCACTTGCCTCTTTTCATGGGAAACCATCCCAAGTTTTGATGCCCTGGGGGTGGGGGGAGGGGCTGGCTCTGAGGGTTTGGAAATGAGAGCCAGACATAGTCCTTTGCTGGTTGTGGAGTGGGGTTGGGAGTGGGGGTGAGGTCTAATTGGTACAGGCTAACAGTTTATATTTTTTGTCATGTGGCTCTCAGTTTGCTCACTAGCCACAGTAACTTTCCTGCCATAGCTCATGACCTTTGGAGCTGTTTAAAAATACTGGGAGCCACTATTGAGACCTGGATTGCTCTAGGCCAAAGGGAGAGCATTCAATAAAGTTCAGTAAACTGCTCATTGTTTTCTAATACTTTGGGGAACACTTTCCTAAAGTTAATTCTTTTACATGAAAAATGTTTTTCAAGCATGGACAAGTTTTGATGATGATTTTAACCTCTCTCATTAAGGTATTTTTTTCAATATTTCTATTAAGGAACTATCTCAGTGTCCTAAGGAGTACACTGGGATTTTGCTCTTGAAAGTTGATATCTTTTGCTTGTCAAGATTTTTAATGGCCTAGGATAGCTTGAACACATGCACTTTTATGTGTGTATGTGTGCACGTGCAATGTGGACCAAGCCTTGTGTTTGCTTGGAAAGCATTTGGCTAGTGAGCTGAACACCCAGTTCATTCATGTACATTTTCAAAGAGACAAATCTAAAAGTTCTCATAGGATTTTCAGATGAGACAGGTGACTCTCTACCTCTCAATTTGTCAGGTGGGATTAACTGGTTAGAGCAAGTTAGCAGATTTTCAAGAGATTTTGTTTTGTGATAGAAAGCCATTTCCCATGGTTTTCATCAAAAGCATTCCGTAGACTCTCCTTTGACCTTTTGAAATATATACATGCTTAGGTCCTCCTGAGTCAGGCTGAGATCTCTGGGATTGGAGTCTAGATATTTAGGTATTTAAATAGCTTCCTTAGTGGCTCTTGATTTGTATCCAGGTTAAGAATGCCATTAAGAATGCCCCACTTTAGGGGCTGTAGAGATGGGCCAGTGATAAAGATTAAGAGCGTTTTTCTGCTTTTCCAGAGGACCCAAATTCAGTTCTAAAACCCGTGTTAAGTGGTCACAACTATCTATAACTCTAACTCCAGGAGATCCAAATTCTGGCTTCTGTGGGCAGGCGCGCGCGCACACACACACACACACACACACGCATGCATACATAAAACTAAAAATAAATCTTTGTTTTAAATGTTACTTTATGAAGCTGAGTAGAAAAATATCAGTGTATTAATTTCTTGAACAAAGTATGTATCAGACTGGAAAGTTTGAATTCTTCTTGGTTCTGAAAAGATGGGTCTTTGGAATTAGATGTTGGAGAAGACCACAATATTAAGTGAAGTAGCCTCTTAAAGGCAGGCTGCTATGTTAGAAAGGTGCTCTAAGGTCTGGGCCCATCTTTTACTCTTGGTATTATGGGGAGATGTGGAACAAGTTACTAAATTAAACAAATATCCTTGAATACAAGCTGGGATTTTAAGTGTGGTGAAGAGAGGCACTGAGGTAGAACCTGTGAGCCAAGGGCAGCTGTTAGCACAGACTGCTGACTGGAGTCCTTTACTTTTATATTGCATATAGAATATCTGTCAGTTTCAAAGGCTACTTGCCTATATTTTTCTTGAAATTCAAGACAAAGTAACTTGCAGTTCCTGTTAAGTACATTATCCCCAGTAGTGCTTTTTGTTTGTAGGGTTTAGTCCTTAGTTGGGGAAAGGAACACAGAAAGAAAAAAAATTCCAATTTTCTTGCCCTGAAAAAAGCTACTTTAAGGAGATAGTACATGTAGTTGACAAATGAATATTTGCAAAAGAATCAAACACTCAGTCTAGAAGTGCTGATGTTGTTGTAGAGTATAGTTTACTTCTATTTTCTTGTTCTATGGCTATGAGACCCAAAGGGTTGGGGTGTCCTCTCCTCAGAGCATGAGCATGAGCGTGAGATGTGATCTGGGTGGTATGTCTGGCACTTTTGCAAGGTTGCCTTGTCAACCATTGCATAGTTATTGACAGCTCTAGTTCAAATAGGCATTTGCCCTTTCTTCTGCTGCAAGGTAAGGGTAATTCAGAGCTAACGAGTGAGAAGAGGAAGAGCTTTGATGAGGGGTCAGGTTGTACCCCCTCTGAGTAAGAAGAGAAGTACCTGACAAAGGACATTAAGTTAGTCTCTTTTAAATGCCATCATTAGAGGCAGGTCACTGTATATTCATTCTGGTTTTCAGACTGCTGATCGTTTTTTCCAGTTTCCCCCTGTATTGGTTTGTTTCTCCTAGAAGAAGAGCTGAGGTAGTCCTGTTGTCTTCAGACAGGACAGGAGAAGTTGGAGTTGGAGTTGGAAAACAGCAGGAGTTTCAACATCCTTCAATTTTTAGATCAAGATCCCTTCAGAGAAAAGTTCAGCAGGAGAAGCCAGGAGAATACAGAATGGAACAGTGCTCTTAATCCAGAGTTTAGGGAACTTCTACTTCTCATCTTTTTGGCCTTTCTTTCCCCTTGCAACTTGAATGTATATTGGTGATAGATTTCCATTGTTTTGCTTGTGTCTCTATTTCTCAAGTCCTATAAAGGAAAGATTACTTCTAGAGTACCCTTTACTGAGGGTTTTAGTTTTATTATGGGGAAATAGGTAAAGATTTAGATCTATCTGTATAAAATGGGGAAAAGAAAACTGTAATATATTGTTTCATTTTATTTTTTTACTTCAAAGCTGAATGAGAGATGAGACCCTGAAAAAGGCTGGGAGTGGTGCTGGAGATACAGCTCAGTGGTAGAATCCTTGTCCCGCACAAGTGAAGTCCTGGGTTCAGTCTCCAGTGCTGAAGTCTGGGGAGGTGCTGAATGATAAAATCAGTACAGAGATTTGAAAGAGAGCACTAAAGCAGATTTAGAGAACCTATTTCTGCTTTTACCTTTTCATTTCCAAACTAGAACTTAGCATTTACTGATTATTGGTAGGGTCTTTTGGCAAAGGAATTATCTCATATTGAGGCGATCTGAGTTTCAAAGAAACTCATGTCCAAAGTTCCAAAGAAAAATGTCAAGTAATTGAGGCAACTATATCGGAGTGATGTCATTTTATGCATATTTCATTGTCTTTGCCAGTCCCAGAAGAATCTTGTGGGTGGATCCACACTGAAGAAAATCTCAATTTCATGTACTCTAATACAGTATATATAATTAGAGTACATGAAATTGGCTAGTAACAGGGAGTGCAGATAGGGGAGGGGATCAAAATATACTCAATATATTGTATGACATTCTCAAAAATTCAATTAAAAATAAACTTAATAGATTTCCCAGTTTTTTTGTATGCATTTTGAGTTGTTCGTGTTTTAAAATATTTTTACTTAAAAAATGTGTAACAATTGAGTCAGGTAGAAACATTGGCATGCTAGATCTTTGATTTTCCCTAGAGGTGATACATATCAGAAGTGTGTCTTGGAATTTAATTTTGTAGTGTCCAAAAGACTATCTCTAGTGGGCCTGTGCGCCGGTTGATGTCCAGCTGGGCCTGTAAGCCAATGATCTACCTGTTTTCTCATTGCACTTATTGGTAGTATATGCACATTATTATAATTCTTTACCTATTACGTGGTCCAACAAGACAGGAACTAAACATTTTACGTTTCCTTTATGGAGAAGTTCTGTATACTGTGGTTTTTCATAGACATTTATTGTGTGATAGTGGGCAAATTCTCATTATTTTACAAAAAATGATGTTGTGTATTACTTATGTAGCATTTTGTGATCTCAGCTAAGGTAATGCCTTAAAAGCCTGAAGTTGTGACCTGCCTTTGAAGTCATCTCATCCAGTCCCCTGCTTCAGGGCAGGACTTCACTTTTATCATCCATTTCTGAACCTTCTGTATCCTCAACCTAGTCTATCATGGAATGTAGCATCCTGTCTGAGAGTAATGCTACTTTTAGTCTGCCGTGTGTTTGGCTTTTACTTTTGATTTTATGCAAAGGAAAATTTCCATTAAAAAACTGATTTTAAGAGTGGATCAAAGTATTCTTTTCAGTAAGCCTTTCACTGGGTATCTCTGACCAATATTTATGTAACTTATTGTATATGAATTGCTTGTATAGTTTTTTTTTTTTTTTTCTGTTGAAGTAACAAGATCAACTCATTTTGGTATGATGGTGTTTTTCCTGTGGCAGAAGTAAAGGGCTTATCACAAATGGTCTTATGAGTATAGGGAGGGGCTGAACTCCACTGGTTTGATGGAAATGGACTGAATTGAGAAGCTTGGTAACAGAATTTTACTGCAGGTTTTCTAGGTACAGCTCTGCTGAAAGTGGCAATGTCAATCTTTAGTTTCATTCTGCTTTATTTTTATGACATTGATAATGAAATATTCCATCAGATCCATTTAAGGTATATATGATTGTATTTAAAATATATTTTGTGTGTATGTCTGTGTGTGTGGAATGGGTTAATAAAGTTATTGAGTAACTTGAACTCATCAGAAGGCTTCTGGTTTTATTTTATTTTTTTGTTTTGTTTTGTATTTTGAATTGTATTCTCTATCTAAATCTCTTCCCCTGTAACTTCTTCATACTGGACACACTGAAACTTGGCAAACCAACATTAAGTTCTCAGAATGCTTGGAGTCTGTGGTTATAGGCATGGCTCTCTTTCACCACCTTCTGGGTGACGGTGGGAAGAACATTATTATCAGTAGCACATTAACTTCGGTAGTCATTTTGTGTACCTACTGGCAAAGTAGGTACCTATACAAAGATTAAGAAGAATTATAATTGATCATACAACTTGTAACTTATGTTATTCATTATAAAGAAAATGGGGAGATCTTTTAGAATTTACCAAGCTGTTGTTTCTAAAATACACCCTGCCTGTTTCTAAGCAGATTGCTGCCAGTGGTATAAAATGGTATTTAACTTCGGAAACAGGAAATACAGATGGAGCTTTTCAGTGTTCTCCTGTCTTATTCTGTGTTACCCTAACAAGGACCAAGATCTCATTAATAATGCAAATGTGAGACTTTATCCCAGACCTACTACATCAGAAATTTCATTTTAACAGGATCACCAAATGGTTCAATTCATAGGTACATTTAATACTTGAGAAACTAGTGTTCTAAGCGGAAGAATTTCTCATAAGGTAAACCATTAAATACCAGTCTATGGGTTCTGATCACTGATTTCAAAATGAACTAGGGTAACCACAACAGTTGGGACCCTCCTCAAAAGCCAAGTAGCCTGTGATATCAATAGCACTTTTTTGGTGTGTGGTCTGTGGACTGATGTAGCCTACATATTCTTTTACCTTTTACCACAGAGATCCAGTCCATCCCTGCTTTATATTTTGGGCATGTAGCTCGTAGTCCAGTTCTGAAATGGACACACACCCTATTATTGTCACAAGATCAGCTTCTAAGGGAAAGAAGCCCATTGCTAGGCCACTAGTTACCTGACCCCCCAGAGTGAGGTGTGTGCAAGTTCAGCAGTGTGTCCTCGCATGTGTGTGGATGTGGTGATGAGGTGAGTAATGGGCAATGGAAGGGCTGTGGATGGATTCTTCTCACTTGTCTTTGTTCATTGTTTGGTTATGGTATAATGGCTTTGCTTCTCTTTCTTTCTGACTCCTAGGAAGTGGAGCATGTGCTGTGTGAGCACAGCCACCCCTCCATGGCATCCCTCACATTGCTTTCCTGATGCTGGGAGGCTGAGGCTAGACCTCTCCGAAGCACTGGATCTACTAAAAAGCTTGGGATGTCAGCGCCACTGAGGCTAGAACAGGATCTTAAATGGGAACTACACATTTGAGACCACTGAATGAGGCCTGGAAAACCTCACTACATTTCTTTTCCCCCATGCCTAACAGGAATATTACTGTACCGTGCCTCAAACAGCCTGAATGAACTAATTTTTATCATTGCTTTGCTGGGTTTGACCCAAGTTTGCAAATACCATTCTGTTTAGGCATTTATTGTTCTCCCTGTCTGCATCCTTAACTGGCTATTATTTGCTTAAAATGCAAATGCACAGCTTTAAAACTGGTTTCTAGGTGAAAGGGATGAACTCCAGGAAGTCTTTCTGTTCAGTGAGAGCTGGTATTTGCATCTATTGCAGGTGAGCAGGCTGGAATCCAATACATGTATGCTAGCAGTCACTTCTTGCCATGTTGTAAGCAAGACAAATCACCAAGTAACTGGAGGGTGTCTGAGAAATTCATGCTCTAAAATGCCTCTTCTATAGTTACAGAGAGCATTATTCATAGCACCCTTTTCATTTAGAGAAGTTCTGCTTGTTCCAGACCCTTTGGAGCAGGATCTGATTGCCAGATTGTCCCTAAAAGGGCACTTACCAGCCTTTAAGTTCTCTTGTGGCTATTACATTTTCTTTCTGAGGCTTGTGCTTCACATAGTCAGAGAAGACTGATTTAGTGCCTCCTGAGTGATTGAGAATGAAGATTGGAGGAGGAAGTAAGGCATCATTTATACCCCATGAAGAAATAAAGATGGTTCCTTGAGAATTAATACTACTTGGGATTATTAGTAGTTTTTTAAAAATTTCAAAATAGAGAGCCAGGCATGGTGGCTCATGCCTTTAATCCCAGCACTTGGGAGGCAGAGACAGGCAGATCTCTGAGTTCAAAGCCAACCTTGTCTACATAGTTCCAGGCCAACTCGGGTTACATGAAGACCCCATCTCAAAAGACCAAACAGAAAAACAAATCAAAATATACAAAGGTAAACATGTCCCTGGTGTCTGTCTCATTGATGTCTCTGGGAAAGCTGTGACTTTGGGAGCTGTGGCCTTTTGGTGTCTGCCTCTGATCTAGCTGTCAGTGTTGTGAGTGACTAGTCTCTGCTGTGACAAATGTGCGCACACTGTCTCCATGAACACACTTGTATTATGTTAGTATTCCTGAAGAATGTTTAATCACCAAGTATGTTGTGTTTTACAATTTTTTTTTCTTTTGACTAGTTTTTTTTTTTTCCTTTTTCACTTGAAATGCATGCTTGTTGGGGAGAAGGATAAGTAGCAAGAAAAGTCAGGAAATACTGTTTTTCCTAAATGCTTCTCTTATGCCGGAGACCGTTACCTAAGTAGGATGTGGTGAACTGCAGGCAGTTCAGTGCCTTACACTTGTTTTTTTTTTTTTTTTTTTACTATGCACACTACCTTGAGAGGGCTCTGCTTAGCAGCAGGCAGTCCACACTGGCTGTGTATGGCATCCTCTACTGCGATGTTTTGTTCTTGTGGTGCAGGCTTCTTTCTGCATCTGATATTGTGGTTGTTAGCCTGAGCCTTTAATGGCTGAGCTGTCCCTCCAACCCACTCTTTCTGAATCTGAATACACTCTTTCCATCTGATGATCAGATGGTGTTTTCATAAAGTTATTTATTTTGTGCAGAGACTTTGAAGCTCCTATACCAGAGTTTGCATGTATTTAATCAGAATGTAATTTATGTTGCCAAGTGTTCTGGTAGCAGTTAGGTGGCTTAAACTCTTAAGCCATATTACCTTAAGTTAAAATTTTAGAGGATAAATTTCATGTGTGTAAAAGAATAACTATGTTATGACACAGTAGATTTAAAAAATTTTTCTCATTGATTTTTATTCTAAAACAAGAAATGTATTTCTTTGGAGAAAAGGTTCTCTCTTGGATAAATAAAATCATGCTAAAATATTTGAGTAACATACTGTTTTTTTTTTTTTTTTAGTTTTTTCAAGAAAAAAAATTTAAAATAGTTCATTAAGGGAAGAAGCTCAAAATAATAGGTTGTCAAATACAGGAAGATATTACCTTGGTCTCTTCCTAGCAGAAGTCTTTTCAATTTACACAAAGATTTAGAGACAAAATTAGTGAACATGTAACTATTTGTAGTAAGGAAAATGCCAATAAACTCAATATGAAGCATTTCTGATGAAGTACTGGACAGCCTTTATGTTATACATTTGAAACTCTTGCAAAGAAAGTGGAGAGATGAGACAATATTAGTGAACATATCACTATTTGTAGTAAGGAAAATGCCAATAAACTCAATATGAAGCATTTCTGATGAAGTACTGGACAGCCTTTATATTATACATTTGAAACTCTTTCTTGCAGAGAAGCTGCAGAGATGACTCAGTGATTGAAAGCAATGCTGCTCTTGCAGAGTAATTGGGTTCAATTCCCAGCACTCCCAAGGCAGCTAACACTGTCCCTAACTCCAGTTCCAGGATCCTCGGACACCCTCTTCTGCATGACACATTTGCCTTTACATATATGCAGGCAATACACTCACACACATAAAACTAAAACATTGTAAACAAAGTATTTTTAAAAAGAATTTTTTTGTAGGGGAAAATGATATAATCCTAACAGAAACTAGATGTACATAAAGTATTCACTAATTAATTTCATTTCATTTTGGTTTTGAGACAGAGACTTGCTATAACCCAGCTGGTTTGTAACTCACTGTGTAGTGCTTCCCTTCTAAGTCAGTCTAGCATGGCCAACCCGATGGATTTAGCTCTGGTGTGAAACTGGTTTTAACCTCTCTGGGTCACGAAGGTCCTTACACTTGGGTTAACACCCACTGGTAATTTACACCTGGGACTAGAAGTGGTAGATGGCTGATGATGCTGTTACATATACAAGAAAGATTTATTTTAATAAATAGTTAATTTTTTCCAATTTTGGAAATGTAAACCAAAATTTAAAATGCTGATAAGAAACAGCATTAAAATATAGTTTATACACAGTACAGTATTACTTAGGCCTTTCATTAGAGAAATATGGAATATTAGAATATTAATTAACAATAGGAGTAAAATTCATATTGCATATAAACTGGCAATGGTAGTCCCACTGTTAGACAATTTCTATAAAAGAAATAATTTTAAAAATCCAATAAGCAACACTTTAACAAAATTGTTATATTTATGCCTTTATGTAGTAAAAAGACAATTATAACAATTATATATAAAGTTATTTTAAAAATTATAAAATTAAAATCAGATCATACAATAATCCTGATGTATCATACAATGTAATGAGTACAAAAATATCACATGACGTTTGTCTTTAATGAAACATATATTGGTATTTACTAAAGCAAATGTGGCACACTGGTGACCAGTGCACTCTTCATACCATTCTGATCCATGTGATCATTACATAGTTATAGAGAATTGCAACTACAGCAATGCTAATAAAGAACTCTGTTATACCCTGAAAATTGAGGAAGCAGGGATGGGGAACATGCCAAAGTTAGGAAGGACAGGCTCCTGCTCTGGGCAGACGTATACTGTGATAGGCCATGAAATATTTGTTTTCAAGGCAAAATATTCTCTATACAGTCTTAAATTTTGTTCCAGTGCCTTGATTCAATTTTGGCAGACATCAAGGAAAAGTAGTTAATACAATTACGTCAAATATCAGAAATATGAATGAGATGACAATGTATACATTTACTTTTGAATGATATCTCTGGTGGCTTATATACTTCACAAACTCTGTGTGTGTATGTGTGTATGCATGCACATCCACAGGAGAGATTGGGAAGCACAGTTTAGCTTATAAAACCTTTACCTTAATGAAAATGCATGGTGGCATATTGATGGGAAGTTATGAAATCTTAAGGCCCCTTTCCCATTTATTTTTGTATGTTTGTGCCACAGGTTTTGGATGAGAGTTCTAGGGCTAAGCACAAATACAAGTCTTCAAGAGTAAAGTACACTTCTCAGCACTGCACAGCAGCGGTAAATAAAAAAAAAACTATTTGCTGGTGTTTATATTAAGAGGACTCACAGTTCACATTCATTCAAGGTATTGGTCAACTCTAATAGGAATAAAACATTTTGTAACTCCTTTAAAATAACTCATTAGGTACTTGACAGTTCCACATGTATATATGGCTCATCTAATTACCATGAGCACATACCCTCTTAGATAGTCCCAATCCCACTTGCCCCCACACTCTTTACAAGTCATTTCTTTATATTTAGCTTTTGTTTTGTGACTTGCTGAATTAAAAACACAACGGCCATCTCTGCATCCATGGGTTTGGAGCTATCCACTGGAGTCAAGTGGTGTCATCATTGGATATATAAAAAGCAAAGTCTGCACCTCCTCCAAATCCACCTGTAATCAATTGCTGAGCAGAGAGGGATAGGGTCAGGAGAGCTGCTTCCTCTTTCATGATACCCTGTTGACAGGCTGAATCCTGCACATGTAGATTGAAGGCAGCCAAAGATGCTGTGATTTCAAAATTGCATTGACTGTGTCATGCCCATAAGATAACATTTCACAGCCATTGTCCAAACTTCCTGGATCTTATATCCTTTCTGTTCCCAATTCTATGATGTTCTTTGGGCCTTAGACGCAGTGGTATGAATGTCTTGTTTAGAACTGAGCACTTGACCGTCATTTATTCTCCGCACATTGGGTCGCCATGCATCTCTGTATTCACCATTGTTCACCAACAAAAGAATCATCTGTTATAAATGGTGAGGGTCTCCCCTGTCTGTGGATATAAATACAGATAGTTAAATGTCTGCTTGACACAATGATAGTTTAGCTAAACATTAGTAGTAGTAAGTTCCCCTCTTGAGCTTACCACAGGTGCAGTTACAGATTTTGTTTTCTTTTTCTTTTTCTTTTTTAACAGGGTTTACATTATCAGGCATTAATTCTCTCATGAGTAGTTGGCTTAACATCCAATCAGAGCAGTTGGTTACCTCCACAACAATTGTGCCCCTATCAAATAACTAGGAAAACATCTTGCTTGGCAGGATGGATTGTAGTTTGTATGGTTAACAGCTGTGTAAGACAGTTGATGCCTTAATTTCCCCAGCAGACTACATAGCACCATTCGTCACTGTGAAGCCTAGACAGCATGGGAGGAGCCTCTAGCCAAGCTCAATAATAACTTTTCTGTATTTCCCAACAATGTTGTATGGTGTCTTTAGCAACAGAGTCTTACCAAGTAATTCTGATTGGCAACAAGAGGAATGCAAGAGGTCATCATTTTTATGTGTGGGTCTCTGTGGTCTCCCTGAGTAACTTCCCACAATCCCACAGTTGGCACAGGTTTTTGTTTAATAACCCACGGCTTCTAGAACAGCATTTTCCACCCTTAGAAGGTGTCTCCATTCTGTTTCACTTGAGGGGGTGCTTACATCAGTAGACTTCTGTATGACTCTTTCACACACTCTTTGTCTAAGTTAAACCCTCATCCCCTTCCTTGCCCCTGCTTAAACATTCCATCCGCAGCATTCCCCCTCTCCATTCTCAGGTCTGCCATCCCCACTGCTTTAAATCACCCCTTATTGTAGTGGCCCTAAAACTGTCTTTAAAAAATCAAATGGCACTTAAATCTAGCTGAGACTGCCAACAGACAAAATGCTTATAGCTTAACAATGCATAAACATGTTCTTGTTACCTTATGTCATGTATGAAATGTAGGTTAAACTCTCTTCATTAACTGGTGAATTTAGTCCTGCTGTTCTCTCTTGCATTATGAAGAAAGGAAGGGACTAGAGTGATAGCTCAGTAGTTAAAAGCACTGGCTATTCTTCCCGAAGACCTGGATTTGGTCTCCAGAACCCACATTGTGTCTAATACAACCACAACTCCAGTTCCAGAGAAGGTGACAAACTTCTTGGCCTCCTTGGGCACTGCACGACCTGGGTGCACATACGTACATGCAGGTAAAACTCTCATAAACATAAAATAAAATATAATTTAGAAAAAGGAAATAAAAGGAACTATTAAGTATGGCAAAGAAATAAAAACAGGTACATCTAAGGATGTATTTGTGTTAGAAAATCTTTTAAAGAGAATATTTTTAGATACAAAAAATGTATGATAAGAATTAAGTTTCTGTCTTGAACAAAAATGACTGGATTTCTACAAAATCAAAAATGCACAAATTAGGACAAAAAAATGTTTAAGTACATCATAAAAGTTCAAG